CTACATATTGTAGCCGCTCTGCGGCTTTCTTCCCGCCCACCCCCTCCTCCTTAGTCTCCCTGCAGCCGTGGGGAGGAGGGTATGGGGGTGGCGGGTGTTGGTGTTAGGTCGTCTCCTTCCCTTCCCCTCCTCCTCCTTTCGTTCCCACTGCTGCAGCTGCTGCTGGGGGGAGGGTGTGAGGGTGTGGGGGAGCAGGGGGAGTGGCACCAGGGTGGCGGGTGTGAGGCAACAAGCAGCCGTCCTTCACCTCTCCTCTCTTCCCCCCTTCTTTGCTGCTCCTGCAGCAATGTGGGGGAAGGGAAGGAGGAGGGTGAGGAGACGGAGGGGGTGACCAGCCAGAGTCAGCCCGCCTGCAGTACCTGCTGTTGCTTGTTTAATTTCTTTCTTGTGTACCCCTGCAAGTTGTGTTCTGCACAAACTCCTGCTGTAGGCAGTTATGGGGGAGTGTCAGACTTTATATTATTTATATTTGTAACTGCCTTTAGCTGTAGTTAGTGTAGTTATTGTAAACTTTGTTAGGTGGTGCACCCTTTTGTTTCTTATGCTATATGTTCCTTGAACCTATAGTGAAACCCCACTTTCCAACTTTCTCGACCCTCTCACCCTTGGCTCAACTCACTCGACATCCTAGTTGGGCCTAGGCTACTAAGCCTAGTGTCAGAATGAGGAATGGTGTGTCCATTGATGTTGGTTGGGGTACATATGACAAACCCTAACTTCTGTACCCCCTAAGACAAACCTCACTACAGGCTACAACATTTGACACACCCCCATAGCCTAAGTGAGGGGTGTCTAGCAAAATCAAAAAGAGTACGGTCACAAGACCAGTCCAAAAGAAAACAAAGCTCAGGGTGGATCACAACGTCACCACACACTCTGAGCACAAGCAACAGTGGCCACAAGGCCAGTCCAAGAGATCACAAGTATATATAGCAAGTGTACAGACGAAGCAGGCAATAAACTCAAGTCTACACATGACTAGAACCTGTGTCAACAAGGCCTAACTGCACACAACACCTCTGGTGGTCACAAGGCGGAAGCGCCTTGGTGAAGATGTCTGCAGTGTTGGCCTCGGACTCCACGAACTCGAAGCGAGCCTGTCCACGTCTCTGCAACTCTCGCAGAAGAAAGTACCTGACGTGAATGTGCTTCACTCTGCTCTCCAGTCGCGGCTCACGACAGAGGAGGATCGACGCCTTGTTGTCAGTAAACAAGGTCGGTGCAGAGCTCGGCCGCTCACCAAGGTCGGCGAGCAAGAAGGTCAACCACCGCAACTCCTGTGCCGCCATGGCACCAGCGTAAATCTCAGCCTCAGCTGTAGAGGTCGAGACAGAAGAGGAGCGCGTGGAACGCCAGGAAACAGCTCCAGAACCCAGACTGAAACAGTACCCCTGAGTAGACCTGTGAGTCTCAGCGTCGTCAGCGTAAGAGGAGTCACAGTGACCAGTGAGTACGACAGACTGCTGCCCTCCAAGAACTAGCCTCACGCCTGATGTAGTCGCTAGGTACTTCGCCACCCTCACAGCTGCCGTCCAGTGAACAGGACGGTGTCTCCCTGGCGCAACAAAGCGCGCAAGAATGCTGAGAGGGAAGGCGAGGTCCGGGCGAGTACAAGTCATCAGGTACATGAGGCAACCCACAAGCTCTGCGTAGGGACCACTAGGCTCAAACGGCTCGTCAGGAAAGGGACCAGTGAGTCTGTGGTCAACAGCGAGAGGTGTGCGCTGTACGGTGGAGTGCTGAAGCCCGAACCGCTGAAGGACCTGCTGCACCATGTGTGACTGTGAGAGTGTAATGGTGCGAGCGGCTCTGTCCCTGGTGATCTGCAGGCCAAGGTAGTGGCGCAGCTCACCAAGATCAGTGCACGTGTGTCTCTTCTGCAGTTCGGACTTCACGTCTGCCAAAGCAACCCTGTCCGGAGTGGCGAAAACGAGGTCGTCGATGTAGACCAGAACAAAGAACGGTGTGGAGCCACGACGAACGAACAGCGACGGGTCGGCAGAAGACGGCTGGAACCCAAGGTCAGAGAGGGTAGAACGCAGAGTGTCGTGCCACTCGCGAGGGGCCTGGCGAAGACCGTAAACAGGTCGCCTCAGCCTCCACTGGGTCCCAGGAGGGAAAGTGCCAGTGAAGGCCGAGGGACGACGCAACCAGACCTCCTCGTGTAGGCTGCCCTGAAGGAAAGCAGTGGAGAAGTCGAGAGAGTGTAACTCGTAGTCTCTCTGTGCTGCTACGTGTAGTAACACCCGAAGAGTGGTCATCTTCGGGGTAGGTGCGAAGGTCTGAAAGAAGTCAACTCCCTCACGCTGACTGAAACCTCTAGCCACGTAGCGCGCCTTGAAGACCGGGGGAGATCCCGGTGGCCGCTTCACCCTGTAGATCCACATGCCGTCGACTACGTTCGCCCCAGGGGGGGGAACCTCATCGACGTAGGTGCCTGTGGATCTGTAGGAGGCCATCTCTGCGTCCATGGCAGCTCTCCACTGAGAGGCCCAAGGCCCTGACACTGCCTCAGCGTAAGTGCGAGGAGTCGGAATGTCAAGGGCGTCGGGGTCACCCTCAGGGGCGAGGAGCATGGCACAGAGATGAGGGGAAGCGGCCGCCAGGAACTCTAGCTCAAACTGCCTGTCCTCTAGGGCGTCACAGCCAAGGGCAGACACACCCCCGACGGCCAGAGGACTGGTAGGAGGAGCAGCCACAAGCGTGGTGGCGTAGTCAAGGCGGCGGGTAGCGGCAAAGTCAGTAACCGCGGCAGTAAGAGCAGACACAGAGGCACGAGGGTGAGTAACAAGAGAGGCGAGAACACGAGAGAGAACAGGACGGTACGTGCGGTAGTAGTCAGTGACAGGAGCAGGGAGCGACACGGTGAGGGCCGACTCAGGAGGAGACGGAAGCACAGACTGAGACGGACGAGGTGGACTGGAACAAAGTAAGGCAGTACGAAGGTCAGTGAAGGGAACAGGAGACGAGGGACGAGCACGAGGGGAGCGACGAGTAGCCCAAGAACGAGACGGAGGAGGAGAGGACAAAGGCGGAGAACTAGAGAAAACAGCGGGGGAGGAGTCAGGCGGAGGAAACGTGGGACCGTAGACAGGAGGAGAGGCGGAGGAGGGAGGAGAAGGGGAGGGGAGACCAAGGGCCCGAAGACCCGAGACAGGAGGAGGAAGTGGCTGCTGCTGCTGCTGCTGCGACTGCTGCTGCTGCGGACGCGGCTGCTGCTGGGACTGCTGCTCCTGCGGGTCCAGCTGCTGCTGCTGCTCCGCCAGCCGCTGTAACTCCCTCTCCTCTCTCTCCAACTCCAGCTGCTCGTCACGCGCACGGCGAACACGAGCCTGGTGCCTAGTCGGGTAGGGGTGGGGGGGCGGAGAGTGTCCGAAGCAGCGGCAGCTCCAGAGTCAACCCCCGAAGAACCAGGCGCACCACCCCCAGAGGCAGCACTAACACCAGCTCCAGACCCAGGCGCACCAGAACCCGAAGCCGGCGCGACGCGACGGGGTAGGGTGACGCGACGGGACAGGGCGACGGGACGGGACAGGGTGACGGGACGGGGTAGGGCGACGCGACGGGACAGGGCGACGGGACGGGGGGGGAACAGGCGGGCACGACGCGACGGGGGGAACGGGCGCGACGCGACGGGGGGAACGGGCGCGACGCGACGGGGGGAAAGGGCGTGACGGGGGGGGGGAAAGGGCGCGACGCGACGGGGGGGGGGGGGGGGCGCTAGGCGACGGGGAGAAAGGGCGCTAAGCGACGGGGGAAAGGGCGCTAGGCTCGGTAACAACGGAACTGGTACGAACGAGAGGTAGGATCAGGCTCGGGAGGTACGAACGGAGAACGGAGGAACGGGATCCCACAGGATCCTAACCTAGCTGATACCATGTCAGAATGAGGAATGGTGTGTCCATTGATGTTGGTTGGGGTACATATGACAAACCCTAACTTCTGTACCCCCTAAGACAAACCTCACTACAGGCTACAACATTTGACACCTAGGCCCTTGTTAAAACTTAGTAATCTCATTCTCGTTCTTTCTTTCTCAAGATAATCGTATCTATCTCTCAACCGACCGCTTTGCAGCCCACCAAACCTATCGCACCCCCGTACTAAACTACCCCGGAAAGTGGAGGGTAACCTAGGAAAGTAGCTCTGATACCAAGTGTTATGAGTTGTATGAAAGAAGAGTGCGCAGAATGCAATATCGCGGAAGTGATTACAACTACTGAGCAAACATCGGGGCCTAGGCATAATATAGCAAGGCTAGCTAAGCCCGAGGTCGCGAAGTCGTGCGAGGGTTGGGTGTAGGTTTGGGTTTGGAAAACCCGAAGGCGACCCGGAGGACGTTCGGGAGGCGAGGTCGTCGGACCGAGCCTGAACTCCGAAACGTTGGAAATGTACGCGTAAGCGGTGCCTCAGTAAGGAATTAGCAAAATTCCTTACACAACCACTGTTTCCAGTCGCTTGTAACCGAGATTTATGAGATCCCAGGCCTGTGGGAATGGGCCCTTCTAGTGAGGTGTCAACATTTCTATTGACTTCCTCACCAATAAAGCTCATTGGGTGCAATTCCTTATCCCAATCCTGTTTCTGCTTGGACCCAAAATTGCACGGACAGGGAATTTGGATCGTAAATGTCGGGCGGCGGCATAACATTCATGAGGGCTGGGAACGGGCACTACCCCCAAACAAGCACCATCCCAGTTTCGTTGTTGCTTTCGCCATGGTAATCGCCGTCGCACGCAGCCTAGAAAACACCCATTCAAAGGAACGATGGCTCCTGAAGCAACGCGTTCCATGCAGCGACTCCTGTCGCAACGCTCGCACATGGCCACAGCGTTGCTGCGCCCGTCGCGAGCTGCGTCCCGTCGCAGAGGTCCTACCGGCCTCACATAGAACCTCCGGAAACGGGCCCTTCTTGCGAGGTTCTTAGATTGATCCTCCAATAAATCACGATTCGTTCTTGCTTTCGCACTCAGCCAGGAAACGCCTTATCGAAGCCCACGATGACGCCTAAAGCAACGCGTTCCTTCCAGCGACTCCTGTCGCAGCGGTCGCACTTGGCCAAGGCTTTGCCGCGCCCGTCGCGGGCTGCGTCCCGCCACAGAGGTCCCTCCAGCCTCGCACAGAAGCTCCGTGGAGCGCGTGATGCGCCGCACGCTAGTAGGCTCTCTGCGATGCCCATTTAAGCATCCGTGCCCGATCGTTCTCGTCACCTCTTCTGCATTACACCAGTTAGCACCAATCACCCCTCTAGCACCTCTTTCTCTCGGGTTGCTCCGCTGCACACTCCTGCTCTACTCCTGCTCTACTCCTGCTTCACTCCTGCTCTCGGATTGCTCGTGGCGATCAAGGTCGAAGAGCGAATGGCGTCCGCCGGAATCAGCAGCACGGGGAATGGCAAGGCCGTGCGTGCGCTGCTCGCCATCGTCGCCGTCATCGCCGGTACGCTCCGTCATTCGCTCCGCTGTCTCTCGCCGCGTGCTCTCATGCGCCATCGTGCTCACGCCGTCGTGCGTTCAATGCACCACACGACAGCGCGCACACGCGATGGATGCCAACCGAACTCGCACCTTCGTCCGTGCCCCTCATGTGTCACATGCCCCTCTCTTGCAGCGTGTCTCCCGCAGCCGTCGCAAGCAGCAGCGAGCGTATCGGTCCTAGTGCCGATTGGCACGACGATGGCGATCTACGGGCGCGGAATAACCTTCTTGTCGCGCCGATGTGTCACCTTTCCTGCCATGCCGCCTTCTCAGACGACGCGGGTGGTGGTGCCGTGGAAACAAGCAAGCATGTCTGGCAAGGCTGTGTGCCGCGGGATCCGGTTCTTCCAGGATCCCGCGTGCAAAGGACAGACGTTGGACGTTTTCGCGAATGGCCAACAGAGGTGCGCCTTCCATTCTTGCTCGCCTTGCTTCCATGCTCCTATGCTTTCTTGATGCCGCTCGTTTGCTCCCCCACCTGACCAACGATCGTTGCACTCGCGGCGCCCTCCCTCCCCCTGTGTGCAGTGAGAAGCGCATCTCCGGTGCACCGAGGTCCGCCCTCTGCCTCATAGGTGCGTGCGTCCCCTCTTGCCCTCTCTCGCGCCCGCCTCTCGCGAGAAGCCGCCCTCTCTCTCTCTCTCTCTCTCTCTCTCTCTCTCTCTCTCTCTCTCTCTCTCTCTCTCTCTCTCTCTCTCTCTCTCTCGCTGGCCTTGTGCTCTCACTGCACAGTCCGGTTCGCTGCGCTGCAGAGCGCACGACGCGACTGGGTGGCAGGCTGCCGCGCCTCATCTCTGCATTCGCCTTCCCCCCTTCCCCCTTTCCCCCGGTCCGCACGGCGCTGTGCTGCAGACAACATGTGTCAGTATGCGCGCTGCCGTGCCGGCTCTGACACATGCACCCCACCCACGGACGACCGCGCGGCAGTGACGTGCGCGTGCAAGAAAGGCTACAGCGCGGTCAACAACAAATGCCAGCCTCCCAGTAAGCTTCGTATGGTTTCGCTCCGCTCAGCATGGTCTCGTTGCCGCAACTCTCTTTTCCTCCGCCCTACCTTGCCTGCTCTGCTCTCTCTGAATGCTTCCTTGTCCGGATGGACCCATGTGCTCACCTGGCCTCCCTCTCTCTCTCCTTGCCTCTGCTGCAGAACCCTCGTGCCTCACTGCAGGCTGCCCTGCCAACTCCGAGTGTGCCAAACGCACCAGTGGCACCGGAATGGAGTGCAAGTGCAAGGCGGGCTACAATGCAGTCGGTGCCACCTGTGTGCCAGCAGCAAAACCCGGCACCACCACAACCCCGTCCGGCACCACCACAACCCCGTCCGGCACCACCACAACCCCGTCCGGCACCACCACAGCTTCGACCGGCACCACCACAGCTTCGACCACCACAGCTTCGACCACCACAACACCTTCAGGTGACGCTTCAGGATCTTCCAGCAACGTTGCAGAATCTTCAAGCGACATCTCAGATTCTTCCAGCAACGTTTCAGGACCTTCCAACTACCGGTCAGAAATTCCTAGTTACGTTTCAGACTCTTCCAGCAACGCGTCAGATTCTCCTATCTACACATCAGAATCTCCCAACTAAACTCCTGAACCTTCCAGCGGTGGCAACTCCGTACCATCCTATTCCTCTACTTGCGCCAAGCCAAATCAGTCGCCACATCTGAGAAGAGTTGAGGGACGTATTGCGTAGGGACAGGGATTGGATGCTGTTGCTGTGCTTCTCAGACTGGTTGGAGAGGCAGTTTGTGAACTGTTCTCGGGAAGGTCGTTGAGCAGGTGCCAGGCAGGGTAACTGGCAAGTTCTCAAGAAGAATAGAAGCAACCAATCTGGTAGCAGAGCAGCACTGCGTGATATCAGACCCTCCCTGTCCGGGCTGGTTAGATTTCTCCTGTTCGCACCCCCACTTCTCCCCTTCTCTCCCCTCCCTTTGTTTTCTCTTTCTAGGTTTGTTGTATGGTAATCTTTGTTTTACCTATCTAAATATTTGTTTCTGGATTTTGTTGCAATTCTACACATGTGGCATCAAATCGTAAAGAGGGCCCTGCTTTCGACCTTCGGTTCTGGTGGCTTCCATCTATTCACTCTAGTTTATACTACTGTCAGGACCATAACTTAGGAGCGTGATCAACCATTTTCGAGTTTGCTGTTCGTAGCTATACCAGATTACATCATTACACAACATTCTAACAGCAGGGAATCTTCTACACTCCTCAACGAGCTAGCGTTGACCAGAGCATCTTCCGACTTACCAAGGCATCCCATATTTTTTCCTGAGGTCCTTCTCGGTGAGCGGAGGGCGATTAGGGAAGCCAAAACCTGGCTGGGGTGGCGGCTTAGTAACTTTCCCCCACCATTCGCGGGCGCTCAAGATTTTATCGCGGATTTGCGAGACGAGTTGACTCCCTGCAGGCTTGGATGCGAACGAGTCCTGCGGTGCCGCTCGCCGCGTGTCTTTCGCCGTGTCAACGCGACTCTCGATTATCATGTCAGTGGCGGCTGAATCTTGCAGTGCCACGTCTGCCAATGCTGCATGGTTAGTAGCAATTGTTTTACTGGTAGTGCCACGCATAAGAGCCCGACGCGGCCCTTCCGCATACCCACCGCGCTCCTCTTGCGCTGCCGCAGCCGAAAGGAATTTCAGAGACGCGAAAAGAAGGGCGAGCGTGAAGATAGAGCGAAGAGCGCCCATGGCGAGCAACTATAGGACTTCAAAAAGAAAGCGACGTTAGGTTATTGTGAGGGTTGTTCGGGTTATAATGAAAGCTTTGTAGTCCCCCCCGGGTGGAATTCCCTTTCTAAGAACTGAGATACACACACAGGTGGCAGGGGCGTGCTTGCTGTTGGATGCCGCGCACATTGCGGAGATTCGAAGGTGTGTGTTGAGTTGAGGTCGCGCGCGGTCCGCGTGAAGCCTTTTCGAGTGCTCTTTAGAAGCCTTCCCGGATACTCACCAGCAATAAACACGGTCGATCTAGCAGCCGTAGCGCGCGACCTAGCAGCCGTAGCGCGCGATCTAGCAGCCGTAGCACGCGATCTAGCCGCCGCGCCCGTGATCTAGCCGCCAGGCCCGCGATTTTGCCACCAGCGCGCGATCTAGCCGCCAAGCCCGCGATCTTGCCGCCAGCGCGCGATTTTGCCGCCAGACCCGCGATTTAGCCGCTCAGTCACCGATTAGGCCGCCTGGCGCGCAGCTAGGCAGCAGAATTCGCGCCAAAGCAGGCTCCTGTCACGTGCTGGCCGCCGAAACCGCGCAGCAGCAGTGAAATCCGTGCCCTAGCCGCGATATCCGCGCCATAGCAGCGAAATCCGTGCCACCGCAGCGACATCCGCGCCAGAGCAGTGAAATCCGTGGCACCGCAGCGACATCCGCGCCACAGCAACAAAATCCGTGCCACCGCGGTGACACCAGCGCCACTGCAGCGAAATCGACGCCATAGAAACGAAATCCGCGCCACAGTAGCAAAATCTGCGCCACAACAGAGAAATCCGCGCCACAGCAGCGGAATCTGCGCCATAGCAGCGATATCCGCGCCACAGCAGCGACATCCGTGCCATAGCAGCGAGATCCCAGCCATAGCAGCGGATTCCGCGCCATAGCAGCGAAATCTGCGCCATGGTAGCGAACCGAGCCTTAGCAACGAACACCGCGCCATAGCATAGTTATAGACGCCATAATAGGAAAACCCGTGCCACAGCAGCGAAATCCCTGGCCATAAGAGCACCATAGAGTAAGCGAACGAGCCTTGGCCAGAGCTTGGAGCCATGGCGGAGGACCTGGACCCCGGGGATCCCGGGGTCTGGGTGGGGGACGGCCTGGACAGCGACATGACGGGAGCCTTTGGGGGCGAAGGGGGGGTAAGCACAGTAGCAGCTGGTGGGTCGCTCCACCTATTGGTTGGTCACAAAAGACGGAGGGAGGCTGAGGGTGTGCTTCGGAGCCCACACATCCGTCGCCTCCACCATGAAGGCCTTCTATGCCTATTTGGCAAACCACCCAAGAGACCGCGATACGCAGCGGGCTGTCCGACTTCAGCATTGACATGTGAGCAGTCCCTCGACAACCCTTCCAACACTTGGGCTGGCCAGATCGACGACTCCGAACCGGCGGTCGTCAACGAAGAGGTGGGGGGAGCGATAAGTGACAAGGGCGCGGTTGAGGAGGTGGCGATAGCTCCAAGGGAGGCTTTGGAGGTAGCGAGGGCAGCTTGGGAAGAGCACCGTAGGCGCTTGCAGCGACAGCATGACACTCGCAGAAGCGGCCGACCCGAGAGGGTAACGCCGCACAGTGCGGGCTCGACCGACGCTGCAATCCCCCTGGTCGTGCCACCTCTTGCACGGCGACAAGAGTGGAAGCGCCGGAGGGCGGCAAGGAGAGACGGGCAGCAGGAGCCGCTAGCGGGGGGCTCGCGAGACCTGCCGGTGGGGGAGCAGCAGGGGGTACGGGAGGGGGCCCGGTAGCCGCCGGTGGGGACGGGACAGCAGGGGTCGCAGAGTGGTGGGCAGCAGGAGCTGCAGGGCGGAGGGCAGCAGCAGCTGCCGAGCGGAGGGCAACAGCCCAAGCAGAGCGGAGGGCAGCAGTGGATACAGGCTGGGGGGCAGCAGGAGCTGCAGGCTGGGGTCCAGCAGGAGCGGCAGGCCGGGGGGCAGCAGGAGCGGCAGGTCGGGGGGCAGCAGGAGCGGCAGGTCGGGGGGCAGCAGGAGCGGCAGGTCGGGGGGCAGCAGGAGCGGCAGGCCGGGGGGCAGCAGGCGTTGGCGACGGCGATGGAGGTGGAGCCACAGGCCGCGGGGCAGCAGGAGCCGCGAAGCAGAGGGCAGCAGCAGCTGCCGAGCGGAGAGCAGCAATGGCTGCAGGCTGGGGGGCAGCAGGAGCTGCAGGCTGGGGAGCAGCAGGCGTTGGTGATGGAGATGGAGGTGGAGTCACATGCCGGGGGGCAGCAGGAGCTGCAGAGCGGAGAGTAGCAGCAGCTGCGCATCGAAGGGCAGCGGACGCTGCCGAGTGGAGGGGAGCATCCAAGGAAAGGGCAGCCAAAGCTGCCGGGAGAAGGGCAGCTGCTGGCGAGGCAGAAGCAAGCGGCAGACGTGGAAATGGCCGAGCTATCACGAGCCGTGGAAATGCCACGAGAGGAGCGGCAGGAGCTGCAAACAGGAGGGCGGCGGGAGCTGCCGGCGCGGGGTCAGCGGGAGGTCGCGAATTCGGATGCTGTACGCCAAGCGAGCAGAACCCGGGCACGGGGCCGAGGCGGGAGTCGACGTTCCTGCAAATCGCAAGGGCGGATTGGAAGCGGGGCTGCCGCACAGCAGGCGGAGGGGCAGCCGGGGGCGCCCGGTGCACCCCAGGGAGAGCAGCAGGCAGGGGGGCAGTCGAGGGCGCCTGGTGCACCCCAGGGAGAGCAGCAGGCAGGGGGGCAGTCGAGGGTGCCCGGAGCACCCCAGGGAGAGCAGCAGGCAGGGGGGCAGTCGAGGGTGCCCGGAGCACCCCAGAGAGAGCAGCGGGCAGGAGGGCAGCTGAGGGTGCCCGGAGCACCCCAGGGAGAGCAGCAGGCAGGGAGGCAGCTGAGGGTGCCCGGAGCACCCCAGGGAGAGCAGCAGGCAGAAGGGCAGCCGGGGGTGCTCGGAGCACCCCAGGGAGAGCAGCAGGCAGGGGGGCAGCTGAGGGTGCCCGGGGCACCCCAGGGAGAGCAGCAGGCAGGGGGGCAGCCGGGGGTGACCGGGACACCCCAGGGAGAGCAGCAGGCAGGGGGGCAGCTGGGGGCGGCAGGAGCACCCCAGAGAGAGCAGCAGACAAGGGGGCAGCCGGGGGTGCCCGGAGCACCCCAGGGAGAGCAGCAGGCAGGGGGACAGCAAGAGCTGCCCGGAGGTCAACAGGCGTTGGCGGTAGAGATGGAGGTGGAGCAGGGGGTTGGGGAGCAGCAAGAGCTGCAGGCTGGGGGGCAGCAAGAGCTGCAGGAGCTGGAGGTGGAGATGGAGGAGCCGCAAGAGGAGGCGCGAGGGGAGCTGCCGGTATGCATGCAGGAGGGGAGTCAAACAGACAACCAACCCCAGTCGCAGGCAGGGCGGCAAGGGTGTTATGAAGGGAACCAGCCCTTGCCTGGAAGCGTGCAACAAGGGTTGCCGACGAGTGAGTCGCAGGAGTTGCAGGTGCAGAATCAGCAGAGGGTCACTAGCCCGGGCGGCACAGGCCAAGCCGAAGGGTCGCGGGCACGGCGCCGAAGGGGGCGACGACAGGGAGGGCAGCGGGATGGGGGCCAGCCGGGGGCGACCCGGGCACCCCAGGGAGAGCAGCAGCCAGGGGGGTAGCCAGAGGTGACCGGGGCACCCCAGAGAGCGAAGCAGCCAGGGGGGCAGCCGGGGTTGACCGGAGCACCCATGGGAGCGCAGCAGCCAGGGGGGCAGCCGGGGTTGACCGGAGCACCCCTGGGAGCGCAGCAGCCAGGGGGGCAGCCGGGGGTGACCCGAGCACCCCAGGGAGAGCAGCAAGCAGGGGGGCAGCCGGGGGTGACCGGGACACCCCAGGGAGACCAGCAGGCAGACGGGCAGCTGGGGCTGGCAGGAGCACCCTAGAGAGAGCAGCAGCCGGGGGTGACTCGATCGCCCCAGGGAGAGCAGCAGCCAGGGGGGCAGCCGAGGGTGACCGGAGCACCCCAGGGAGAGCAGCAGCCAGGGGGGCAGACGAGGGTGACCGGAGCACCCCTGGGAGAGCAGCAGCCAGGAGGGCAGTCGAGGGTGACCGGAGCACCCGTGGGAGAGCAGCAGCCAGGGGGGCAGCCGGGGGTGACCGGGGCACCCCAGGGTGCGCAGCAGTCAGGGGGGCAGCCGGGGTGACCCGAGCACCTCGGGGAGCGCAGCAGCCAGGGGGGCAGCCGGGGGTGACCCGAGCACCCCAGAGAGAGCAGCAGGCAGGGGGGGCAGCCGGGGTTGACCGGATCACCCCAGGGAGAGCAGCAGCCAGGGGGGCAGCCAAGGGTGACCGGAGCACCCCAGGGAGCGGAGCAGCCAGGGGGGCAGCCGGGGGTGACTGGGGCACCCCAGGGAGCGCAGCAGTCAGGGGGGCAGCCGGGGGTGACCCGAGCACCCAAGGGAGAGCAGCAGCCAGGGGGGCAGCCGGGGGTGACCGGGGCACCCCAGGGAGCGCAGCAGTCAGGGGGGCAGCCGGAGGTGACCCAAGCACCCCAGGGAGAGCAGCAGGCAAGGGGGCCGCCGGGGGCGACTGGAGCACCCCAGAGAGAGCCGCAGGCAGGGGGGCAGCCGGGGGTGACCGGGGCACCTCAGGGAGCGCAGCAGTCAGGGGGGCAGCCGGGGGTGACCCAAGCACCCCAGGGAGAGAAGCAGGCATGGGGGCAGCCGGCGGCGACCGGAGCATCCCAGAGAGAGCAGCAGCCAGGGGGGCAGCCGGGGGCGACCGAAGCACCCCAGGGATCGCAGCGGCCAGGTGGGCAGCCAGGTGGGCAGCCAGGTGTGACTGGTGGATCCCTGGGAGAGCAGCGGCCAGGGGGGGAGCCGATGGACGACATGGAGCGGCAGTTGGTGGAGTCGAGCCAACTTTTGGAGTTAGATACTCCCATGGCGACTGCGGAGGAGCCAGAGGAAGACGGAGAGCCTCCCAGACCGCCTTTCCCATGCCCCCATTTTCCGTGCGATACGTGTTTTCACACGTTCGCTACGCGAGGGGCCGCTGCGAACGACATGAGGGTATGCAGGGTGGCTGAGGCGGAGAGGCGCGCGCAGGCACTTGGCTCGATCCCGTCCCTGGTGGAGACCGGCACGCAGGAGAGACCAACGCCGCGGGACTTTGGCGACGAGGCGTGGGCCGGGGCTACGTCATGGGAGTGGGAAGCATTTTTCAGTGTGGAGGCGGTTGGAGGGAGGACAGTGGGCCCGGGCGGGGGTCTTGGACGCGCTCTGCTGCATCTTAAAGCATTTGAAGAGCCGACCGGGGGATGAAGCCGCTACCCTCCTGCTCTTGGCGTATCCGCGCCTCATCTTAGCCGTGCCTCCCAAGCCAGGCATAGGTTAGAAGGCGCTGATAATAGAGCGGTTGGGGGCATTCTGGGAGGGGAGGTGGCGGGAGCTGTTCGACTCTGCCATGGCAGCGGCGCGGCCAGCAGTTCGTCCACTCGCCTACACTTGCTCTAACCAGGACCCGGATGCCATCCGCCTGTCATGGTGCCGAGCTCGGTGTAAAGTGGGAGAGTGGAGTCGTGGATTGGCCTGCCTTACTGCAGGAGAGTTGGCTCGACCGTCTGAGGCCATGGTGCAGTCGCTGCAAGAGAAGCACCCTGCTAGCACTGGCGAGGTACCACAGTGGGTCCGTGATTTCACCGTCGATGTTCCTCAGCGGCCTCCACTGACGACCGACGTCCTGGCGAGAGCCATTCATACAGCCGCTCGCGCTTCAGCAGCAGGGCCATTGGGGTGGGTCACAGAGCATCTGCGCGACACCTTCATCCACCTAATGGAGGTGTTCAACCAATAGGTGGCAGGACAGATCCCCGAGCGGGCGCGGCCCTGGCTCGCTGCATCCAACCTAGTTGGGCTTTCCAAGCCTAACGGCGACGTCCGACCGGTGGCGATTGGGGAGGTGCTTCTGCGTATCGTTGCTCGAGCTTTTTGCATTTCGCTCCGCTCCGCGATGGCTTCCTACTTTCTGCTGTGCAACCAGCTGGGAGCGTGCACCAGGGTCGGGGTGGAGATTCTTACTCATTCTTTCCAGTCAGCGCTGACCACTCACCCCGATTGGTGTGCGCTGCAGATAGATGTCGCGAATGCCTTCAATTCTTTTCACTGTCCCGCGATGTTTGAGGGGCTGCGGGAGTCGCCTTTCTCGGGGTTGATCCCATTCTTGCGTGTTTTCTACGGGACACCTAGCGACCTGTACCTCCGAGCAGGCCCTTTCATACAGAATCTTGAGTCGGCACGAGGTTTGCGGTAGGGGGACCCGCTCGACCCTTTTCTTTTTGCGTTCACGCAGCAGCAGGTGATGGAGTCGGTGATTAGAGAGTCCAAGGACATACTTTTCCTCAGTTATGCAGACGATACCTACATCATTGGACCAGCGGCTAGAATCTGTGAGGCTTTTGGGGTGCTGCGGGAGCAGTTGGAGTGGGTGCGGCTGGAGGTGCAGGCGCTCAAGTGCCGGTTTTGGGAGTGCGAAGGCGGGGATGCGGAGTGGGCACTGCCATTGGGGATGCAGCGGGTGGAGGAGGGTCTCACTGTGGTGGGCGTACCTATTGGGGAGGAGGATTGGGAGGTAGCCTGATTACGGGAGCGACTTCGACAGTTGCAGGGGCCATTGCCATGGCTCCCCCTGCTTGACCACCCCTGGATGGCTTCACATCTCCTCGCCATTGCAGTTTTAGCACGGCCGATGTACCTGGCCTGGACTATGCCGCCGCGTCCGGAGGTGGAGGAGGCTTTTAGGGATTGGGACAGCTGTCTGGAGGATTGCTTTGAGCAGCTTTTCCCACCTTGCCCGACCGGTCTAGGCGCGCGCGCATGCAGCTGCATCTTCTTGTGCGACTCGGAGGGTTTGGGATTAGGGTGGCGGCCTTTGAGCCCGCTGTCCTATGTTTGTGGGTGGGCGCAGGCCGCGCGTGATGTTGCACAGTTGGGGGTGGCGGGCAAAGAGGCGATGTTTACAGAGTACCTCACCACCTCGGGAGGGGCGGAGCTTCTTGATCCTTGGTTTGCCAAGGCTATTGAGCAGCTGCCAGCGACTATACGCCAGGAGATGCCGGGCTTACCTCTGTGTGCAGCGGTTCCTCCTCTTTGACTTTTCTAGGCGTGGCAGCGGCAGTTGGCTGTAGAGGAGCTCCAGACACTGCGCCGCTCGGCTCGTGACGATGCCACCCTGGCCCGTTTCACATCCCTTCAGGGCCCGGGGGTTGGTGCATGGGTCCCGGCTCACTCAGATCTCACATTCACTGCGGCGGAGTGGGGCATTGCTGCTGCTATACGGCTCGGGCTCCCAATTCAGCAGCTGCAGGTTGCGGGGAGGTGTGTTTGTGGCACAGCGTATGTTGACCCAACAGACCCGCATCATGCCTTGAGATGCAAGCACCAGCACGATCCATCTCGGATGCATGATGAGGTGAAATTTGCAGTGGCGAGGATCTCTAAGACGTCAGGGGGGGGTGGTGACGATGGAGGATAGTGTGGTGCTGCCGGGGAAGCGGGTTGACAAGGCGGTGCGACGACCAATGGCCGGGGAGGTTCACGCTCTAGTGATCAGCGTTGCGGACCCGCTATTGTTGTCTCCATCTCTGGTAGGACAGTGCGGTCGTTCTATTGGTGTGGCGGCAAGGGAGTGGGAGCGTCGCAAAACGAGTGATTACGCGCCTCTGCTTGCACGCAACCGGGGCGTGCAGTTCACCCCTTTGATAGTAGAGATGTGGGGGTGTCTTGGCGGGTGTTTCCGGCGGTGGTTTCGACGACAGGGGGATGCGCACGTGGGGCTAGCCGTGTTACGGGGGGCTTGTCAAGAGGATGACTTTTCGTTTTCGGCTTATCTTTTGAGGTCTCTGAAGGCGCTCATTGGGGTAGCTTTACAACGGGTGCAAGCTCGTGTCATCCTGCTTCGAGCGGCGTCTTCTATGGGGGGGATTAATGTGGACTTGGTGGACCGGGAGAAGGACGACGTCGAGGAGGAAGGTGGGGCTCTTTGGGTGTAGGTCCCGTATATGGTGGATGCGCAAATGTGAAATGGGGTCGGGATGGGGTGTATTGTTGGGGTGTCCTGACTGGGTGTTCAATTTGGGTATTTTGATGGGGTTTTCTTAAGGTCTTGCGTTTGGTGTTTTTTTTTTTTTTCTGTTTTTTTTTTTTTTTTGGGTTGCAAAGCAACCTATTACAATCGTTATGTACAATTTTTTTCATCATCTATACTAATTTATAATTAGAAAATGAGAAAAATCTAGTGAATGATAGCTAAGTAATTGACTGCTACCAGTGTGTATTTTATTGAAGTGAACAAGAATGAATGACTAAGGAATGAGTGTGATACATACATGAAACCCTAGGATTGTGTACCCCTTAGTGTATAACCTGCTACAGCCTACACAGGCTAGATCATATAGGTCTGACACACCTCCATAGGCAAAGTGGGGGAGAGCAAGGGGTCACAAGACCAGTCAAGCAAAGCAAGGCAAAGCAAGCTCAGGGTGGATCACAACGCCACCACACTGTTGGAATTAAGGTTAATTCGGGTTGCTCCAATAAACATATGTAGTGGTACATCTACACTATGGTAGTGTAGAATACATTGGTTGGGTTGGGAGAACTTGTGGTGTACACTCTTTAGAGTGGACCACCTCCCAAACCCTATAGGTTAGGGTTCTCTCTTGTTGGTATTTCACTTTTGGAAACCACTTTGGTTCTAGCATGGTTCATGCCCAAGTGGGCTCCTAGGATTCCTAGGCTTTAGGAGGAGGTTCTAAGACTACTAAAGCTTCCGCTAGTATCTTAGTCCATTCTAATATGGTATCAGAGCAAGGAAGGCCTAGCAATCTGTTGGAATAGGAGTTACTCAAGACATTGGACCATAAGATCTTGGTGGAAGCTAGTTAGCTTCCATTCCTCCAGAAGGGCTGCCGAAATTGCACCGTGGCGGACTCTGGACGTGAGAGGGGAGGAGGAGAGAAGAAAACTGCTGGAAATCGTGTGGATCCGTTTGGGAGGACGAGAAGAGAGGCATCCATCCACGGAGGCGCTCAGTCAACGTTGGCCGATCAAGACGTGCAGCATACCGTTGGAAAGGTCTCAGCACGCTCTACAACAATTGCCTCAGGGTCGTCACCAATCGACGAGGGGATCGGACGCAATTCGCGAAAAACTGCCGGCGGACGAATTGGAAAATCGCAAATCGGGGAAGATTTAAAGCGCGGAAAAAAGATTGGAGGCCAGACGCCGATAGAGGAGGCCAGGGCGCATCCAACAAGCCAAAAATCGGGAGAAACGGTTGAGTCTTCGTCGACGGGAAATCGGCCAACTTCGACGAGTTTAAGCGGCCAGCTTGGAAGCGGGATCCAGGAGCGCGATACATCATCGGAACGGTCTTGGAGCAAAGATTCATCTGAGACAAATGGCTCATCATTCGGAGGTTCGAGCGCGGAGTTACGCTCCAAAAACCAAGAGGGGGCAAATCTGTCCACATCGTCTCCACCACCGCCGCCGTTGCCTCCACCACCACATCAACGTCAATCTCCAGAGTGTCTGCCGCAAATGGATCATGACTCAGGTGAAGGGAAGCTGGAGAGTGCGCCAAAGTTCGACGGGAGCGACTATTGGACTTGGAGCTTCCGATTCGAACAATGGGCAGAGGCACACGATCTATGGGGGTACTTTGATGGTTCGGAGGAGCGGCCTGCATCGGGTGACGCACGGCTGAAGTGGGAGAGAAAAAATCAGAAGGCATTCGCTCAATTCTGCAATGCCTTGGTGCCAGATGAGCTAATTCGTTTGGTACGGGAGTTCGGCGGCAAGACCGAGTTGGGCAGCGCACCTGTTGATGGCGGAGCAAGAGCGGTCACCCGAATTCCTGCAGGCACAGCAGCGGCATACATACGAGTGAAGGAGTTCTACCTTCAGCGTGGATTGTGTAACCGGATGGCACTCTCTGAGGAGCTCTCTTCATTGAAGATGAAAGAGGGGGAGGGGGTGGCTGCATACTGGGCGCGTGCCGAGGACTTGAGGTCCAAGTACTTGGCTGCAGGAGGAAAGGAGGAGGTTGAGGAGTGGATGATGAGGGTACTCAAAGGACTACCTCCTCACTTTGAGATGCTGAAGGTGGTGTTGAACAACCAGTCATCATCGCTCACTAAGGATCAGCTGCTTACCTCCTTGAGGAGCGAGGAGATGCGGATTGGTGTCGCACCAAGATCGGATGGTGTAGCCACATTTGGAGCGGGTACGAAAGTGGGCAGCAGCGGCAGGGGAAATTGGGTCAAGGGAGGAAAGCATGGAGACAGCGGTAGCAGCAGTGACACCAACTCGGGCAGATGGGGTCAAGGGAAAGGCAAAGCGGGAGTGCTTGATTTCCCTTGGGGGTCCAAGGGCATGGCTCCTCGGGGGTTGTGTCATGGCTGTTGGGATGAGGGACATGCATGGCAGCGATGTCCTCATCGACCTAAGGGAGGCATTCCGGCATTCTTAAAGCGGGGGGGTCGTGGGTCCAACGGCAAGGCACAGGTGGCGGATGAGGAGGAGCAGGATGACAAGGCAGAGGCAGTGGTTGGAGAAGCAGTTGCAGCAGTGGGAGAGGAGCAGCCGCGAGAGGGGTGGTGGATTGACAGTGGGGCCAGCCACAACTTTACTCCTTATGCATCGGACTTCAAAAGTAAGCTTCAACCACCAGAGGTTCGGGGAGTTAGATTGGGAGATGGACGGGTGGTGAAAGCTGTTGGCATGGGTGAGGTGCCAGTGGTTGGTGCTGGAGGTCAGCTGCTGAGGATTCAAAAGGTCCACCTTGTGCTTGAGATGCAGACGCGTCTGCTGTCAGTCCCACACCTCACCTCTCGAGATGTCATTGTCACATTCAAAGGCAAGAGATGTGTCCTTCAACGGGGGGAGCGGGTGTTGGCGATTGGAGAAAAGGAGAGGGGAAGGGACCATGGATTGGTGCGGATGTTTCTTCCTCTTGCTCAGGGCACACAGGGCAGTGCTCTTGCAGCTAAGTCGTCCTCCTCATTTTCCCCATTGACCCTTGCCCATCGCCGCCTTGGTCATACCGCCCCCACAACATTGCAACAGATGGCTCGGGGGAACAGTGTACTGGGCTTGGAGATTGGGGGGGGGAACACTGATTGTTCCCCATGTGAGCCCTGCTTATTGGGAAAGTCGGCTCGGAAGCCGTTTCCCCATGAGGCATCTCGGGCACTTGGGCCTTTGGATGAGGTCCACATGGATTTGTGGGGGCCGGTGCGCACACCATCACTGGGAGGAGCGGTGTATGTCCTCAGTCTCATTGACGACTTCACCAGACGAGTTTGGTCGTTCCCCCTCCCCAACAAGGAATCGGCCATAGTTGCAAAAGTCCTTCGCCAGTGGCATAAGGACGTGGAGTTGGAGTGTGGGCGGAAGCTGAAGGCTGTTCGCTCGGACAGGGGTGGCGAGTTCTTGGGGGAAGCTGTAAAAGCATGGAAGGCGGAGTTTGGCATTAAAACTCAATTGAGCGTCGCAGATACACCGCAACAGAATGGGGTTGTGGAGAGGTGGCACAGGACGATGGCAGAGGGGATTCGCACATTGTTGGTCGACAGTGGTCTCCCTGCTCGCTTGTGGGGTGAAGCATTGATGTGGGTCGTGTGGGTTAAGAACAGGGTCACCCACAGTGCTTTGCCTGCCTCCATCACACCAATGGAGGCGTGGTCCGGCCAGAAGCCGCATGTGGGCATGGCTCGGATTTGGGGTTGCATGGGGAGTGTCATGTTGCATGGGCATGAGAAGGGTGGCAAGCTTGATGCACGGGCTGTCATGTGTGTCTGTGTTGGGGTGGACATGGAGAGCAAGGGTTGGCGCATGCTGGACCCTTCTATCATGCGCATTCGCATTGCTCGGGATGTTGATTTCCTTGAGAATGTGATGTGGAAGGATTGGGACAAGGCAAAGGAATTTGGGGAGCTTCTGCAGGATGCAGCTGCAATTTCCCAACTCCTCCCTCTTCCACTCTCGCCACCTTCAGCAACGGCTCACGACGTTGAGATGCCACTTTCACCACTGCCACCGGCACCGCTGAGTGTGTCGGTGCAGCAGCAGCCCACCCCTCTGCAGCAGCTCAGTGGCCCCTCGGTCATTCAGCGGAGATCCGCTACACAGGCTACTTCCTCTTCCTCCTCCTCTGGTCAGCGCTCTATCCCTCTCTCTACGGGTGCCCCTCCGTCACCAGCGACTACCTCCCCACCACCGGTTACGGGTTTGCAGGTGCTTGGTATCCAGTCTGGTACAGGTGGTGAGGAGGTAGGGGGGGATGCTGGTGTGGTTGAGGGCATGCTATGTTTGGCCAGGGAGGTGGAAGGTGTTGCACTGGCAGGTGTGAGCACAGGTGATGTCCCACGCACACTCGCTGAGGCCCTGCGTGGCCCTGAGGGCCCTGCGTGGAAGGCAGGTGCTGAGAAGGAGGTAAATGCAATGCGCACTATGGGTGTATGGGATCTAGAGCCGGTTGACTTACCTCCAGGTAAGAAGGCCATTGGGGTCCGGTACGTTTTCCGCAGGAAAACTGACAAGGAGGATAAGGTGGTACAGCACAAGGTTCGCCTTGTTGCTAAGGGGTACACTCAGGAGCCTGAGAAGGACTATGATCAGGTATTTGCCCCTGTGGGCAAGCTGACCTCAGGTCGGGTGCTTCTTGCAGAAGCCGCGGTAAAAGGGTGGCATGTACAACAGGAGGATGTTGATCATGCTTACCTCAATGCACTCCTTCAAGAGGAAGTGTATGTGAGGCAACCTGAGGGATTTGATGATGGTACAGGTAGGGTGCATCGCTTGCGCAAAGCTCTCTATGGGCTCAAGCAAGCGCCTCGTGCTTGGAATGAGGAGATTGGTACCACCTTGATTGCAGCAGGGTTTGACCGCAGTGCATGTGATGAGGCTCTGTACATCAGGTTTGTGGATGAAGAGCCAGTGTATGTATTGGTGTATGTGGATGACCTCTTGCTTGTGTCTCCACGCTTGGAGCTGATCGGTCAGGTCAAGGAGGTGCTTGCTCAGAGGTACCAGATGAAGGATCTAGGTGAGGTATCCATGTACCTTGGTGTGGAGGTTCGCAGGTCGGTCAAGGATGGGTGGTTGGAGATTGGTCAGGAGAAGTATGTCCGTGGTCTCCAGGGAAGGTTTGGTGATCTGCTGAAGGAGACCCATAGGGTGCATACTCCAATGTCACCCAATGATCTCTCTAAGATCAGGAATGGTACTTGGTCAACTGAGGAAGGTGTTGCAGCTGATGTCAAGGTGTACCAGAGTCTCATTGGCAGCTTGATGTATGCTGCTGTGACCACCCGTCCTGACATGTCTTTCACTGTCAACACCCTTGCACAGTCCTGCGTGGCACCAAGACGCATTCACATGCGCGCTGCACTGAGAGCACTCAGGTACTTGGTCGACACAGCTGATCGTGTCATCAGGTATGAGCGCCAAGGTGGTGAGCAGGTTGTCGGGTACACAGACTCGGATTGGGGTGGTGAGACTGATGGCAAGAGTCGCTCTGCCTACATCTTTAAGCTGGGAGGAGGAGCAATCAGCTGGTATAGCAAAAAGCAAGACAGTGTTGCAGCAAGCGTTTCTGAAGCTGAGTACAAAGCTCTATCGGAGGGGGCCAAGGAGGCCATTTGGTTGAGGAGTCTGTTGGCAGAGATGCATGTGGGGGATGGGGGGGCTATTCCATTGCTCTGTGATAATGAGGCAGCTGTCTCCCTTGCCCACAATCCCGTTCTCCATCAGCGCACCAAGCACATTAAGGTGGCATGGCACTTTGTACGGGATGCGGTGCGCCAGCAGAAGGTCGAGGTGCACTCAGTACGCTCCCACCTCCAGGATGCCGACATGCTCACCAAAGCTCTTCCAAGCTTGCAGCTGCATGAGAACCTGGAGCGCATCGGCATGCGAGTGATTGCTGCGAAGGCCAAGGCTTCATTCGCTGGAGGGGTTGTATTTTGATTTATGGGTGAACTTTAATGCTTATTGGAGCAAGGGGGGGTGTTGGAATTAAGGTTAATTCGGGTTGCTCCAATAAACATATGTAGTGGTACATCTACACTATTGTAGTGTAGAATACATTGGTTGGGTTGGGAGAACTTGTGGTGTACACTCTTTAGAGTGGACCACCTCCCAAACCCTATAGGTTAGGGTTCTCTCTTGTTGGTATTTCACTTTTGGAAACCACTTTGGTTCTAGCATGGTTCATGCCCAAGTGGGCTCCTAGGATTCCTAGGCTTTAGGAGGAGGTTCTAAGACTACTAAAGCTTCCGCTAGTATCTTAGTCCATTCTAATACACACATTCCGAGCACAAGTTCAAAGGCCACAAGACCAGTTCACATGCAAAATTACATATATATATATATATAAGGCTAAACAAGCAAGAGCAGGTATATATCTATGTAGCAGTACAAGCAAGGTCAAGAAGTGAGCAAGTGAGGCAAGGTAGGCACAAGACCCACATGAGAACAGAAGCGATGATGATCACAAGGCGCAAGTGCCTTGGTGAAGATATCAGCAGTGTTGGCCTGAGAGGCCACGTAAGCAAGGCGCAGCTGACCACGCTGCTGTAGCTCACGAACAAGGAAGTAGCGAAGTGTCGAAATATGTTATTCATATTTATATAATTGTCTGTAGTGTTAGTGTAGTTATGTTTCCCGTTTGGTGGTGCACCTCATTACCCTAGTTCTTGCCGATATCTTTGTACGCTCTTTATTGCACCCTTCTTCATTCTTTCCTTTTCAACTTGCTCGATACTCAAATTCACTCGACCTACTAGCTATGGCTCCTAAGTCTTGCTAGCCTCTTCACACGAAGAGCAATGTGCTCCGTTCTGGACTCCAGTCTCTGCTCCCGACACAAGGCCACTATGGCCTTGTTGTCTACGTACAGCACTGGAGGAGAACGAGGCGGCTCTCCGAGGTCAGTCAGCAGGTAGGTGAGCCAGCGAAGCTCCTGTGCAGCCATGGCCCCAGCGTAGATCTCAGCCTCACAACTGGAGCCGAGAACAGAAGACGAGCGGGTAGCCCGCCACGAAACAGAGCCGGAACCAAGGCTGAAGGTGTAACCCTGTGACGACCGGTGCGTAGCCTGGTCGTCAGCCCAAGAAGCGTCTGCGTGACCAGTGAGGACCAATTGACTCCGCCCTCCAAGCACAAGCCCCATGCCCGATGTACTACACAAGAAGCGCAACACCCTCTTCGCTGCAGCCATGTGCTCCGGTCTGTGTCTCCCAGGAGCAACATAGCGTGCGAGAATGCTAAGAGGGTATGCAAGGTCAGGTCGAGTGCAGGTCATCAGATACATGAGGCAGCCAACAAGCTCTGGGTACCGACCACTCGACTCTACGGACTCACTCGAAGGCAGAGCTGAGAGCGAGTGGCGAGTAGATAGAGGAGTGGCCTGAGGCGAGGAGTACGTGAAGCCGAAGCGCTGAAGGACCTGCTGCACCATGTGTGACTGAGTCAGGATAATGGGGCGCTGTGCTCTGTCCCAGGTGATCTGCAAGCCAAGGTAGCTGCGCAGTTCACCCAGGTCTGTGCACGTGTGTCTCTTCTGCAGCTCGGACTTCAAATGGGCGAGTCCAGCAGTGTCAGCAGTGGCAAAGACCAAGTCTTCGACGTATACGAGGATGTAGAACGGCGGCAAAGAGGTGCGCAGAAACAGCGACGAGTCCGCAGTAGACGGAGCAAACCCAAGAGCCGCAAGCGTAGTCCTCAGTGTGTCGTGCCACTCACGAGGTGCTAGGTAGAGACCTTAGACTGGCCGCCGGAGGCTCCACTAGGTGCCAGGAGGAAACGACCTAGAAAAGCCAGGTGGGCGGCGCAGCCAGATCTCCTCGTGCAGGCTGCCCTGCAAGAAAGCAGTGTTGACGTCAAGAGAGTGAAGCTCGAAGTCGCGCTGAGCGGCTATGTGCAGCAGTACCCGAAGAGTGGTCATCTTTGGAGTGGGAGAGAAGGTCTGAAAGTAGTCAACTCCCTGCCAGTGACTGAAGCCACGAGCCACGTAACGCGCCTTGAAGAGAGGTGGAGAACCCGGCGGCCGCTTCACCCTGAAAATCCACATGCCATTGACGATGTTCGCCCCAGGCGGGGGAACCTCGACAACGTAGGTGCCTTTGGACTTCCAGGAAGCCATCTCTGCGTCCATGGCTGCCTGCCACTGAGAGGAGTAGGGACCCTCTATCGCCTCCGCGTAAGAGCGCGGAGTCGGGATATCAAGTGCATTCGGGTCTCCCTCAGGGGTAAGCAGCATGGACACGAGATGAGGTGAAGCAGCAGCCAAGCATAGGAACTCCTCCTGCCTGTCCTCAAGGACGTCCGTGCCAAGAGTACACTCACCCCCGACGGACGGAGGACAGACAGACTGAGACTCAGCAACAAGACTAGCAACGTAGTCTAGACGACAGCGAGCAGCAATGTCGACAAGCTCAGTGACCAGGGCAGACGCAACAGCGAACTCAAAGGAAGGGTCAGTGACAACAGTAGCAAGGAGACGCGTGACAGTAGGACTGGCAGCACAAAGGGAGTCCGACTCCGGATCAGCAAGAGCAGGAAGAGAGGACTCAGGAGGAGAAGGCAAAGGGGCACGCAGAGGAGCAGTGGACGGACGGAGAGACATCCGATGCGTGCCGGGGACAGGGGGAGGACGCTCACGCGAACAACGACCACTAACTCGAGCAGCACGGACAGGCGACGCAGGACGAGACGCACGCTCACAACGCTCAGCAAGACCTCCAGTAGGACCAGTGTAGGGAGAAGGAGCAGGCAGTGGGGAGGTCAGCTATAACTCTGACTCGGACTGGACAGGCGGTGGACACTCTAAGGAAGGAGCAGGACCAGTAGAAGGCGGGAGACCAAGAACCTGCTCAAGGAGCGGAACGAAGTACGACCTCGGCCGCGCAGCGACTCCAGAAAAGGGAGGGACATTACCAGTGCCTCCAGTGGTAGCACCAGCGCCAGCAGCACCTCCAGCTCCAGCACCCCTAGCAGCTCCACTAGCTCCAGGACCTCCAGCAGCACCAGCAGCACCCCCAGCAAGACCACCTCCAGTAACTCCAGTAGTACCCTCAGCACCAACACCCTCAGCAGCTCCAGCTCCAGTGCGACCACGAGAAGACGCAGTATCTCCAGCTCCAGCGGTACCCGCAGGCCCAGCAGCTCTAGTACTCCCTGTACGAGCATTTTCGGGACCCGTGGTACCAGCACCCTCAGTAGCAGGAGAACCTCCAGCTCCAGCAGCACGCCTCCAGCGCCGTGCAAACCACTCACGCACCTCCTGTGGAGAGAGGGGCTCCCGCCGAGACGAAGCACCCGGAGAATCTCCAGACCCAGCACCGCCACACGCCACACGAGTAGACCCTGCACCCGCAGGCTCCGCACCCTCAGGCTCAGCACTTCGAGGCTCCGCACCCCCAGGCTCAGCACCCCCAGGCTCCGCACCCCCAGGCTCAACACCCCCAGTCGTAGCACTCCCAGGCTCAGCACCCCCAGAGTCAGCACCCCCAGTAGTAGCACCCGCAGGCTCAGCACCCCCAGGCTCAGCACCCCCAGAGTCAGCACCCCCAGGCTCAGCACCCTCAGCAGCACCAGAGTCACCAGTAGCCTCGACAAGCTTGACTGCGTCTACCTGGGACACACCTGAAGGGGAAGGACCCTGAGGGGGGAGGGGGTCTACCGGGGGGGGACCTAGTACAAGGAAGAGCGGCGGCAGGGGGAGGGACGGAGTGCGGTAGGGGAAGAGGCGGTAGTAGGGGACCGACTCGTCAAACGTGACGACCTGGGAGGACAGAACACGGCGAGAGGTGGGGTGGTAGAACTGCCACCCTGGCGCATCAGGGGGGAAGCCAAGGAAGACGCAAGGAGCAGCACGAGGGGACAGCTTGTCCGCAGACAAGTCACGAACAAACGCCCGAGATCCTCAGACACGGAACGCAGCCGCATCGCCAACCTTCCCCGTCCACAGCAAAGCTGGGGAGGTCTCCGGCATGGAGACCCTGGGGTGAAGGTTGATTTGATGCGCCGCGTACCGAACCGCAAACGGCCACAGAAAATGGGGGGCAGCCGCATGCATCATGGACGTACGAGCGACATCCATGACCATGCCAATGCGGCGCTCAACAATCCCATTTTGCTTTGGGGAGTCCGGAAGCGTGAAGGTCTGGCGGATGCCTCGTGCACGACAGTAGGCTCGTAGAAGGCCAGAGGAGAACTCTCCGCCTCTGTCAGATTGCAGACGCAGAACAGGAAAGTCCGAGCCGAAACTCTTCCTGAGCTGGAGACGAGCTGCGCGGATCCAGTCGATCAACACCTCAGTGACATCACCCTTGCAGCGCAAGAGGAGGACTGTGGTGTAACGCGAGTAGTCGTCAACCACCAGCAGGAAGTAGTGCTCGTGACCCTGTTCACGGACGCGGGGTGGGCCCCACACGTCCATGTGAAGCGTCTGCAGTGGGGCCTCTGTCGGAGGAAACTTTGAGGAGTGAAGGGCAGCACGCTGCCGTCCCTCGACGCAAGGGACACATGTAGGGGCAGGCCCCGGAGGAAGGGGAGGGAGGGACTGGGGGAGACCAGAGACCAGGACACGCGAGGCCATGCCTCGGAGACGAGGCAAGGAGGGGTGACCAACGCGGTGGTGCAAGAGGAGATTCTCGTGAGACAGGAGATGACACGAGCAAGGGGCAGAATCAGGACCAGACCTGGACGCTGCAGCAAACACCTGACCCGACGCAGGGACAGGAGGGGACTCAGTGGTCGGTGTGTACAGGCTCGACCCCGGCCTACGGGTAAACGTGGCCAGGTGTCGGCCCGTCCGAGCACACGTGCAGTGGGTCACTCGCTGGCTCGCAGGAGTGAACTGGTGAACCCCCGCATCCTGTAGGTCAGCACCACTCACCAAGTTCGTAGAGAACGAGGGGAGGTAAAGACAAGACAGGGTGCCAGAGGGGGCCGCTGGACACGGG